GGGGGGGGGGGAGAGACTCAGCGCTGCCTTGCATTTCTTCCTGTCTCCACGAGCTCCCAAAAACAGAGTGTATGCAGTCTCGACGATCGTCGAGACTGTGGGGGATCGCCCCCCCCCCTCCCCCCCTTCGCTCCCCCCCTGCTTCAAAGACTCTGATGGACAAGGGTTCACGAAAGCTCAGCCTGGCATCGGTGGTTCCAGTTCACGAGGAGGGACTTGCTGTGAGCCACCCAGCTGTGCAGGCACAGCAGATGGAAGAAGAGCCACAGGTCAGCGGCATACTTCGCTGGCTGCAGACGAGAGATAGGCTGCAGAATGGCCTCTCTTTTTGCGTTTATGCGTGCGTAGGTGACACGAGCATCTGTGAGTGCTGGGGCGGCATCTGCAGCCACGCCAGCTGCTTCTGCTCAGCATGACGAGGGGCGACGGCGGTCGTCCGTCGAGGGCTACGTGGGGCTGCCTCCTGACACTGTCACTGACCATGAACCGCCTGCAAGACAACTTGAAGAGGTGCAGTTGGCAAGCAGGCACCCACGTTTCGAGCAATGCGTCTGTGTCCGGTGTTGTGGCCTGTATGCAGGCTCACATAGTATCGTTTCCGGCCATGTTGGAAAGGCAGACGACAACGGAGATCGACCTGGTGAAGCTGGTGGAGGGTGCCATCGAATCGAACAACCTGGCCCAGCTCAAGAAGGTCGTCAACAGCCTCTCGGACGATGAGGCGGAGAAGGTCTTCGCATCAGCGGTGTTCTCGGACTCGTCCCGTGACGAGTACAGCACCGCCACGCACATGATCGCTGGTGTGAGCGGCGGGCTCCTGGCCCCACGAATTCGTCTTCCATGCCACCTATCCCCCATTTCTGCGTCCTCCATTTCTCTTCACGTGTGTCTGTCTTTCAGCAAAGGGTCGGGTGGATATGCTGGAGTGGTTGCTGAAGGGATGGCTGCACTACCTAAGGATGGAAGACCAGGTGGGCAGGGAGCCGCCGGCGCTGCCTTCCTGGCTGTCTGTCCGTAGTATATGCACCCTTTTGCCCTCGATCAGAATGGCAAGACGCCTCTCCACGTGGCGGCCAAGGAGAACCAAATTGCCATTGTTGAAAAGATTGTGGACATCTTGGGATCACATGAGTTGGAGGCACAGGACGAGGTGCGTGACTTGGGGCTAAAGGGAAGCGACAGACACGCACATGTGCTTCTGGCTGGCTGGCTGGCTGGCTGGCTGGGTGGGTGGCTGGATGTAGTTTGGCAGGACGGCCCTCGAGATCGCTGCAGGTAGGTACGTAGGTACAAGAAGTGTCCCATGTCTCAATGAACAAGAGTAGGGCCATAGATGCATTCCCCGTGTGGATGTATCCAGGCAGCGGGAGCGTCAAGATAGTGGAGGTGATGTTGCAGATGAACCCAGACCTCATCAAGATAACAAACAACGTAGCACGACCCAACAACCAGTCTTGTCCATGCTCGCGGATGTGTGCATTCATGCAGCTTGGCCAAGTCCCCTTGCACGTTGCAGCCGAGAGGAATCAGACGGAGGTAGTCGACAAAATCGTGGAGATGCTCGGTGCATCCGTACTCGACACAAGAAACGAGGTACAGTGTGAGTGAATCGCACGCCAATGACTCCTCTTGGTCTCTCGCCCCTTTCTCCATCAGGACGGGTCCACGGCACTTCACTCTGCCGCAGGTGCAGCAACAGACGATCGCACAGAACATCAAATGACATGGTGTAGTGGATGTGGACGCCTTATTTTGTTCTCTCCGGCAGCCAAGGGCAACACGAGCATGGCTGAGGTCTTACTCAAAGTCAATCCAAAGCTGTCACAGGCCACTAACGACGTATAGCCGGGCAGCAGAGGCAACATACATCAGCTGAACTGCTTATGCTCCTGATGCTGTTCTTATCTTTTGTCCAGGTCAACGCTACGGCCTTTCACATGGCGGCTGCCGGGAACCACCATCCTGTGGTTCAGCAGATGCTGGACATGTGCAGCGCTCGCGACCTCGCAGTGCAAGACCGAGTAAGTACATGTGACAACACACACATGCCCGTGATCATCCAGAAATCGATCGCTTCTCCATTGATTGCTGAATAATGTGCTGATGCAGGATGGCTTTACAGCTCTCCATACTGCAGCACGTGACCCTTCTGACTGACGAGACACACATCAAAGGCTGCCATGTCCCTTGTCTCAGAGTTCGGTAGCGTGGAGGCCTTTGAGACCCTATACAAGGCAGCACCCGACCTGCTCAAGACCAAAGACAAGGTCGCCCTCTCTCGCCACAGACATACTCATTGTATACTGACCTGCGTGCATGTTCATGCCATGTGTCTCCTGGTTCTCTGCCTGCATACATGGATGGGCACACAAATAGGAGGGAGAGACGCCGATCCATTTGGCGGTCAAGAGGGGCCAGCCCAAGGTGATGGAGAGCATCGTGTCAACAGTGGGTCCCGACGCCTGGGACGTCACCAACGAGGTGGTTGGCCACATCACATGCCAAGACATGGTTCACGCATACATGACAGACATCCATTGACACTTCTGCAGAGTGGGGACACGATCATGCACATCTTGGCAAGTGAGTGGAGCAATGTGGTGCTACAGATACACTCACATGCGGCACCTCCTGTGTGTATGTCGCCGCCTCTCTGCAGACAAGGGGACCGTCGAATTCGTCAGTAAGCTGGTGGACGAGAGGCCAGAGCTGCTCAAGATGCAAAACAATGTAAGTATCATCATCCAAGCATGCACACATCTGCGAGTTCGATCGTTGATGATTGGTGTCAGGACGGGGAGATTCCCCTCCACATGGCATCGAGTGAGGCCTACGGCACAAGTACATGAATGCCATCTTCCGCTGCGTTTTGTCTACAGTCCGCGGCAGGTTGGAGATATGTGACATGATGCTTAAAAAAAGACCCACACTGCTGCAAATCAAGGACAAGGTCAGTATACCAGACCTGTCTCATCAGACTGTCTCATCCTTCCCCTCTTTCATTTCTCGCAGCATGGCCAGACCCCCCTGCATTCTGCTGCCCGCGCCAAGCGTCCAGACGTTGTGGAGAAGATGTACGAGCTGGCGGGCGAGGTGATACTGCGGATGCTCCAGTCATTCGACCAGATCAAGTCGTTGCTGGCCACGGAGGGTTTCGTCAAGGCCCTACCTTTACTGCGGCACATGGTGGTCAAGGCCATGAAACAGTCAGAGGAGTCACCCTGCCTGGCACCGCTGCGGCTCTGCATGGACCTCAGGAGGGCCATCGAGGCCAGACAAAGGGACTCATACACCAAGTAACCGACAAGGCCCACGCATACGCCCAACCAAAGCCACACCTCATCTCCTGTGCAGCGACATAGCTGATATGGCCGACTGGCTTGAGGCGTTTGCCGCGACTGCGTGTGCCGACATGAGCGAGTGGGAGTTCATGCAGTCACTTGAGAATCACGAAAGGGTCTTCTTCAAATACCTTGACGAGGCAGAGGCACTGCAAGTCGTCACACAACGTAACGTCCTATGCCCAGACAGACATGTCTCGTGCTGGTTGTGATCTGTCTGTGTCTGTGTGGATGGGTCGCTTTGTGGTGCAGCCAACAGCATCCGTTTGGTCAAGGATTGGTGGCGGAAGTCGTATGTGTGGGTGGACCTGGGCTACAAGCGCCACAGTGTCAAGAACAGACTATTCCTCTCCCCACGCATCGCATTCATGAGCAGACTCACAGCCATGATCGTACTGTAAGTAAGCACCACACCATACATACATACAGACAGACAGACACGCAGCGCGGCCCACGCGTAGCATGTACTCCCTCTTGCTCTATATGTGTCTGTTTGTTTGATTGCAGGATAGTGTTTGTGTTGCTGCATGCGGAGACCGTCAAACGAAGCAATGACGAGCGGGGAGGCACCGACCTGTGGGTGTGGGGCATCGTCATCATGGGATTCGGATTCCTCGCACAAGACATCATGCAGGTAAGTACCCACCCATCCCATGGAGCCACGAAGGGGAGTCGGGGCGGGAAGCGATGCAGTGCTTTATTGCCTGTTGGGTGTAGATGGTGCGTTTGTCCAAGGTATACTGGAGCGAGTACTGGCGATACATGGAGTTGGTCAGTTCGCTGGCGACGTTTCTCTTCGTGGTGTCTCATTTCGTGGACGACTCGTCTGACCTGACAGTCAGCTCACTGTCGCTGGTCGGCCTGCTGTTCGCACTCAGACTACTGCAGATAGCCACACTCAGCTCATCCACGGGACCACTCATTCTGTATGTGGGACGACAACACGCAGCCATTCGTTCACGCACACAGTGGATGCAAGCGTGGTGTTCGTGTGGGTGTTGTTCCAGTTCAGTGGTGAAGATATTCTCTGACATCAGCATGTTCCTGCTCCTCTTTGCGTACGTGCTGCTGACCGTCGCCGCCACACTCGTGACGCTGTCTTCCCATGAGAACTACGAACACTTTGGCTCATACGGCAGGGCCATACTCTCTCTGTAAGGCGGGCAAGAAAGGGCAAAAGACAGATGGCTACTAAAAGACTTAAGCATTCGTTAATCTTCACCAACGGGCAGGTTCTACGCCGTGTTGGGGTCATTCCAGGTGAAGCGTGCTGGTCAAAGGATATGTGTGCGCAGGGGTGTTTTGTCGCTCAGGAGCCGCTGGATAATTCGATCGATAACGAGTTTGTGCTGACGGCTAGCCTGCTGTGCCTCTTTCTCATACTCGCACCCATCATCCTCGTACGCACATGACACATCGATGGCATACCACACACGCTCACCTGACTCTGCATCTGCGTCCCCCCTTCATCTGTCACACAGCTGAGCGTCTTGGTCGCCATCATGGTGAGGAGCAAGCTGCACACATGGCTGACGCGTCCTGTACATGGGTATCCTTCATACAGGCGTCTACGTGGGGCTCGATCGCACAATACCAAAACGCGCAGTACCAGCTCATACGCATCCGCATACTCAACGAGTATTTGGTGAGCATACTTCACAGCAGTGCTGATATGCTTGATCTCCTCCCCCTCCACCTCGCCCAATTGCGTCTGTGTTCTTGTATGATCACGACACGACAGCTCATGCCCTCATATGAGCGACTCCCGCCCCCATTCTCTATCTTGGGTGACACACGATACTCAGAACCATCGACGCAGGGAACCTTGCACCTTCACTGTCTGTTTGTCTCTTGTCTGTCTGTCTGTCTGTCTGTCTCTCGGTCACTCCGATGGATCATGCAGCTGTGTTGGTGCTGGCTCCCTTGCGGCATTTAGCGTGGCGCATCGGGGCCATTGTAAGGGAGCAGCCAATTAGCGACGCAAAGCAGAATCGAGCGTCGGTCTTCACGGCCACGCCCGCCTCCCGTCCGCACCGGCAGACCAAGAGCAGCCGCCCATCCAGCCGATTCAGACACAGCGTCACGCGGATGCTCAACAGAGTGTCGATATTCGACATATCCTTCAGAACCGACGCGAGAACAAGGTGGCGCAGCACACTGATGCAGCCGATGCGGCGGCACATGAGGCTGACAGGCTACTCGTGGCTGTCGATGAGCTACTGGGCCATCTTCATTGCCACCCTCATGATCGAGACACTCATGTACAGTGTGGCCATGACGCCCCTGCTGGTGGTGGCGGCCATGTGGGAGACCCTCGTGGGGTTGCTGCCGGTGGGGAAACACAGGCTGGTGGACTGGAGAGATCTGCTGCTGTTCCCTTACTTGCCCTTCCTCGCACCCGTCCTCATCTTCTACTCTGTGCTCGAGGAACAAAGGAAGGTACACACAAAGAGGGGGGGGGTGAATGGATGGATGCGTGGCGTGCCGACTGGCTGCCAGGCTCAGGTTGAAAGGGACCGTGACATGGACGCCAAGCGGGAGAGGGAGGCCGAGGAAGCGAAGGAGAAGACAAGGATGACCTTCAATTTGGTGGCCACCAAAGACCTCGCGCTCATCGGCACCCCTCGGCCGAGCAAGTGGGCGCGTTACATTGACAACTGGAGCGAGACGGTCGATGCCCGCAAGGCAGAGACGCAAGACGTCATGGCTGGTGCGTGACATGATACATGTCTCACTCGACATTCCCATTTTGGTGCCTGCAGCCTTTAACAAGCTGTCAGCGTCTTTCAGCTCCTTCAAGGACGACGTGACAGCATGTAGGACCTTTCACATACCACGCAGATCAATCAATTACTCAATCTATTTATCACTCAATACATCATTTTGTGCCCGCCTCAAGTATGTGTGTATGTATGTAATGTATGTATGTGTGTGCAGTGTTGCATCGAATCGACGCCCGCCAGGTGGAGTCTGAGGCTCGCCAGATGCAGATAGAACAGCAGCTCCTTAAGAATGGCCAGGATGGCAATCCTGTGTCATAGGATGTACACATGCATGTAGTGGTTCATTTTTCTGTTCACATACATACATTCATGGATGCTATGTGTATGTCAAGTCCCGTCTCCTTTCTGTTTTCGCCTTGCTGTCACCAGGGAGACTATACTCACGTCATGATATGTTGTATCTGAACATTTATACGTCATACACGGCTTTCGCGACCGCCCTGGCTTCATTGATCATGTGCATGAGCCCCTCCGCCATGGCTTGCGCGTCTTCGTAGGCCCTCATGGCGTCCTCGGCCCTGCCAGGTCTTTTAGATGAGCCCTTCTTGCCCTTGTCACTCCCACCAGCATCCCGCTGCTGCCTCGCCCTCGCAGCACGCTTCTCATCACCCTGATCACACACATACCCCATTCTCACATGCACAGAGACCTATACAGCCTTATATCAGTGAAGCTGATGCTCGGCTCACAAGGAGTGTTTGTATTTCCATCTTCACTTTGGTCAGCCCGTCAGCAAGGCGCTGGACGGTCTCTCGCTGCTCGTCTGGAAGAGGCACATGGCCGTCAGTCGCCATGCTGTTGTCGATGGGTTTGGTGGCAGTGGGTATGGGCAGGTGTTCGGTCCAGAAGTGCTGAAGCAGCTCACGCGCCTTGACCAACTCTCGCTGCAACGCATCACTCACACGACTGTCCACGCCAGCTGATTCAAGACACAGATCCGACGAACAAGGAAGGAAGGTGTATGCCAGATCAGGGCCGGTGACGTACTGATCGTCCACCTGATTTTGCAGTGATTTTTTTGCCAGTCGATACGGCCTGTGTGAATACTGCGATGGCTGTCTTGCCCTCCGTCACATCTGGATGGATCTGATGAGACCGCAAGCACACGCGCACCATGAAAGGACAATGACCAGGGTCATGACCAGGACGCAGGCATCTCGTGCATCAGTCAGTCACCTTGAGAAGGAAGGATGGCTTCCAGTTCTGGAAGTTGGTCATCAGCTCGCCTATAAAATGACACCGCAGCACATGAAACTCCGGGAACTTCTGTCTTGTTGCTCGCCTACCAGTGGCCCTGTCCGTCCCATGTGTCCTGCCAGCCACCGGTGGCTCCCCAACTGACCCTGCAGCGGCCGAGGTGGCCCTAAGCTTGGTGAACACGCTCTGCCGGTCGAGGGGCAGCCGCTCAGCCGTCGCGCTGCCATCCATCGCCCTCTGATTGGGCCTTATCCGCTTGGATGGGCTCCGATCGAGCGGCAGGTCGTCGAGGAGCACCTCACGGATGAGGTGATCGTGGCGATCATCATCTCGCGGCCGCTTTCCTGCCCTCCTTTCGTCCGCCTGGGGGCTCTCGGGCTCCTGCTTGACCACCACAGGGGGGCGGCTGGAGGCTGGCGCTGTCAGCTCCGGTGGGGACGGCTTGGTGGCCGCCGCAATGGCGGCTTCGTTGAAGAGGTTCTTTCGCGATTGGTTGTTGAATCTGTTGACGAGTAGCTGGTACTGCGAGGGTCGGGTGTAGTAGGACAGGTCGCCAGCCAGCGAAGTGAAACTGTCGCGAGTGCCGAACCCTGACAGACATGAAACAGAGACATGCATGGAGATTGCTTGTCTTCCACTGCACATGTCGGTGGCTAACCTTTCCTTCGGACGGCCTCGCTAGCGATGAGGTCGACAGAGGGCAGCACGGACTCCTGCACTTCAGGCGTGGTGGGGCCCTGAAAACCGAAAGCCATGCATGGACGAGAAGGAGTGAGGCATTTCTCTCCAGAACAGAAGATGGATGCATGTCAGAGTGACCTGTGCGTGTAGCAGCTGTTTCTCGAGTCCCCTGACGACGACATTTTCCTCGTCGCTCTCGACTGAGAGTGAGGGTCCCTCCTTGCCCACCAGCCTGTGGTACAGCCGGCTGCGGAAGAGCTTCTGCCAAAACTCCACGTGGCTGAGGTGGTGCGGCACCAGCCTGTCGTACCGCGCCTTCAACTGTGGGTACTCAGTGAACATCTCACGGAGAGCAGCCTCAGACACGTGCTGGTACTCCTTGGGCCGCGGCGCCCTGTCCTTGCCTGACTCGCCCGATGTGGTGGCGCGCTTGGGGCTGGTGGGTTTGGCCGGGGGAGGGCCAAGGATTTGCATGCGACGCACCAGACCGCGACGAGTGCCACCCTCCGCTGCCCCATGATGGTCCGCGGCCGTGGTGGCCGCCCTCATGTCACCCATGGTGGCAAACACGTCGGCAAACTCGTAGTCGCGCGCACCGCCGCCGTCGCCGTGCTCCTCCGACTGGTACTTGGACTCCATGACGCGGAAGAGTGTCTCGACCAGGAGGTCCTTGTCTACATGCAAGTGGGGCAAATCCTTGTCGGCCGCGTGCTCCACACTCTGGCCCTTCTGTAGCAGATAGGCGCGTCGGTGAGTGGGCTCCTGCCTGAGGAACGTCCTCACGAGCCCAGGATGGTCGAGGACATAGTGCAGGAGGGTCTCATAGTGGACTCGCCAGAATACGTCATCGGTCATGAGCGGCACCCTCTCAACCTTGTCGTCCTTCTTGCCTCCCCTATCCCTCTGCCCCGCTGTCTTGGCCACATCATTGCCAAGCACCAGCAGGCTGTAGGCCATCCGCAACTCGGCCGTCTCGGTCCCATTGTCGGGGGCGGCTGTGCGCCCACCATCTCCTCCCTCCTTTTTGCTGCGCCCCGTGCCGTCTGCTGCATCCTCATCTGCATGATCCATGTCGGGCAGCTGGGCCGCTGACGCAGCGGACGAGATGCCCTTTGCTGCTGCCGCGTCGCGCCTCTCTGGGTTGAGCAAGGCTTGCTTGTAGTGAGTCAGCAGCCGTTCGCTGAGGAACTGGTGGTACTCGTGGTCGATCTGCACCACTGTGGGCTTGGGCTCGGCCGCAGCCGGCTGGGAGGTCGCCTGGGTGCGTTTGGCGATGCCCTCGAGGACAGCCTCGTAGACCTTGGTGCACTCCTGCTGCCGCGTGGTCACATCCGAGTGGGTGAACTCGACGATGGCCTTGTCGCCGCCAATCTCGTCGGGCCCAGTGTGGGCACCTGGCCTGAGTACGAACTTGAGTACGGCCCTCTCCATGTCCTGCTTGCTGCGCTGGACCTTCTGGACAGACGTGTAGAAGAGCAGACGTTTCTCGTTGGCGGCATTTACCAGCAGCAGCCGATAGTTGGTCGCCAGCAGGGTCCACTCCTTCTGCTTGTACTTGACCGTGATGTTCGAGTGCAACGGAACCTCCTGCTCAGACATGTTATCCGCAGATTCCTGTCACGTTCACGTAGATCTGATCGGACCAGCTGTACAATGAACACGCCATCACACAAACGGACAGACAGACATCAATGAGATGCCGTTAGCGGCAATCAAGCCCTTTGTGCACAGACCTGTGCCTAGCGGCTCCTCTTCCCTCGAGCACGTGATCCGCATCCCGAACTGACGGACAAACAACACACACCGCAGATGATTTAAAAGGTGTCTGGCTGCAGTGAGTGGCTGTGTGAGTTGGTGTCTGCTCACCTTGCTCTCAAGGTGGTGCAGGGCATCTATCATGGCGTCGCGGGCTGAAACACCACTGCCAAATGACCTTGCGCTGTCCGTGTGCGGCTGCGTACCTTGACGAGCGCTTCGATAAAGTGTTCGACGATCCGCGAATTGGGTTAGTGCCCAATTTGCGCCTTTAAGAAACAACACGTTCGGCAGACAAAACGTTCGATCACGATCGTACGGAAGAGAAAAGGAAAAGCGGTAGCGGCGTTGTGTTGCTTGCAGCACTACAGACACTGCAATATGTCGAGAAGCTTCGTGTTTTTTGTCATGTTTGGACCAGTAACCCTTAAACTGATGTACCCTAAAGCGGCAGCTTGGCCGTACCTGAAACCGCTGCTGCTTGAAAAAGATCGCGATTGCCTCGCGCGGAGAGAATCAACGAACAAGGGTCTCTGGCTTCGTCTCTCTGGGCGCGAACTTCTTAAAAAAGCAAGATCCGTAACGGAAGAAGCATCAACTGACTGAATAAACACACGAACGCGCCAGTTTGTGGTG